AATACTACAGACAATCCCTGCTGACTACTGTAAACACTGTATTCAAAAGTTTGAGGGCACAAAATGGCTCATGGACTCCAACAATCCCAATGGAATCAGTAAACACTGAAACCTGCTCTAGCTTGTGACAGCTATAAAAATTGCTCCAAGGGGAATACCACAGCAGCTGGACTCTGGTGGCTGTGACCCCTTCCCTGGGTCCTATATAATAGGAGAAAGGGGACAAAGTTGGAGGGAAGGGTCTGGGTCTATCACACTTCAGTATGCTTCCTGCACTAGGGTATTTTTTCTGGGGCTTATTAAACTTGCCGTGTGGCTAGTGTCCATCAAGTGAGTGGATTAACAAAGTAAGAACTAATCAAGTAATGCATATAATAGAAAATATGCAATGGTTTTGTTTTTATAATATATGTTTCTCCACATTATCAGCTAGATAGTATGTAATTCGCTTATTGATGTTGATGGGAAGACTTAATTTACTCTTAAACCAGTAAATTAATATTCAATATAGTTGAATAATGTAAACAATAATTTTTTTATCAAAAAATCACAAGGACTTTTGCAAACATTAAGAGCTTTAAAACAAACTTGAGGTAAGTATTACACAGGCTTTTATAGATGGCCAAACTGACTAATTTGCCGAGGTGAGAATAGAACTGGGAATTTTAGCTCCCAGTTTCCTGATTAATCACAGGTCATACTGCCTCAGGAACTGTTTACCCCAATGTCCTGTAAACACTGTTGATTGCTCTAATTTAAGTAGTTAATGTAATATATATTACTGGATGCAGGCCTATTAAATCCCATTATAACTTGACTACTGTTGTGTTGTTTTCTGAATGCCTAAACATTGTTTTTTGTTGTTGTTGTTGTTTTTCATTATTTGTCCTGAAAACAGAACTTGGAGGACTTCTGAAATACGTTCGACCCTTCTTGAATTCCATCAGCAAAGCAAAAGCAGCCCGCTTAGTCCGATCTCTTCTTGATCTGTTTCTTGATATGGAGGCAGCTACTGGACAGGAAGTAAGACCCTTAAAATGCTGACAGGAGCTCATTCCTCAGGTTCACAGTACCACTACCTAGCTTGCTTTGCTTTATACTGAAGAGTCACTTTTAAGTGGTCCCAAGACATGCTCATTTAATTCATTTGATTACGTTCCATTAATGAAATATTGTATGCCTTATATAGTTCTATGTGAATTAAACAGAGTTCTCTTTTTATGAAGCGTTATCACACTAGAGGTCAGAAATAATTCTTAATGGAGGCGCACTGATATATTGGATGCCTGTCGGATTGACACCGATGAAAAGGGAAATGACGTTATCGGTTATCAGCTTTTTTTGGCCATTATAGCAGATAACGTTTACCAATAATTATGCCTTCTAGCCAGGGTCCTGGATGCCTGGGTTCCCTTGGGGAATGGTGGGTTTCCCTTTGCAGGTGGGCAGCATTCTAGCCTGCAAGGGGTCCTGCTTGCGGCTCCTGGGAGCAGGATGCGGGGGGTGCTGCATGTATGCACATGGCCAGGAATACAGCTGAGCAGCTCCCTGCAGGTAAGTCTGTGGAGGGGATGGGGCATGGGGGAGGGAAAGTGGTGTGTGGGGCTGCAGATCCAAGCCCCCATGGTGAGAGAGAGAGAGAGTGGAACTTGAGCTGGGGGCGCTGCCCAGGCAGGGTGGTGCATGGGACGTGGGGCCAGGGTAGGGATCAGGACAGCTACAGGCAGCTTTTCCCAGGGGCGGGGGAGAATCTCCCCGCTGCTGCACACACCCCTCAGGAGAGGCATGGGGGTGCATGTGCCCCCCCAGACTTGTGTGTGGAGCAGATGCAGGCTGCTCGCTGTAGGGTCGGGGCTCTCTGCTCTGCTGCCTTTCCCTTGGGAGCTCTGTGCTGGCCTCATGCCCCCTGCCCATGTGGCAGAAGTGGGGGTGGTGAGTTGTGTTCCTTGCTGCCAGGTGGGGAGGGTGTGTGTGGCTGGTGCAGGGCTCCTGGGGCAAAGGCAGCAGAGTGGAGAGCCCTAAGCTCAGTGGGCAGCCTGCATCTGCCCTAGCTTGGCTCTGCTCCGCTTAAGCATCCTGGTGTTTAAAAAGGGTGGCAGGGGTGCTTCAACTAAAACTCATTCAGTGAGTTTTAGTTCAAGTGCCCCTGCCACCATTTTTGTGTTAGCATGCTGATACGTACAGTGCAGGAGACTGCTGGAGTGGACCAAAAAAAGGCTTATATATGTCAGTAAATCAATTATCAGATAGGCACCGGCCAGTATGGTTGGTTAATAATTGGCTATCAGTATCGGCCAAGAAAATTTTTATTGGTGCACCCCTAATTCTTAACTTGGTGCCATGGATTCCACAGAGAAGTTGCACTAGGGATCTTCTACCTTTATGCTGTTGTCATGTGACCGTCAGCCAGTCTAGGCATAGCTGCTTGTAGCAGGTCAGAGCTCAGCTTCCTAGATTCTGAGATCAGGCTTTTAGGTCACAGAACCCGTTGTCTCTGTGGTGCCGCCATTCAGCCCCAGCTGGCTCAACTTCTGGCTCAGGTGGGGACTTTGTGCTCCTTCCCTTTAAAAGGGTAACCAAATTTGAAAGTAGCGAGGGAGGCAGTTTCAACACTATTTACATAGTGCTATCAGTGTGCAGTGCTGTGTGAAAGATGTAATTACTGTTCCACATTCTCACTTTTTACTAGTTTGTGTCTTTTTTTTCTTTTTTGGTTTTTTAAGTCATTCAGTTTTTACTGATTTTACACCCGTTTTTCAGTTCAAATCCCTGTTAATCGGCACGAGTGGCCCATTCCCTGGAAGTGGAAGGGCAGGGACCTACTCCCCATGACTGGCGCTACACCCAGCTGCCCTGCACAGGCCCCCCTCCCCCCAAATGCCAGGGCAGCCTGGCAGCTGCGACAGGGAGGGGCGCAAACACAGCCAGGGAAGAAAGGCAGGGCATGGTGCCTTGTGCTTCCTGCTGCTGATCCAGGAGCCCACATCCCCTGGGAAGAGCCCAGCATAGGTCCCCCAGCTCGCAGCCCTCCCAGGGGTTATGTAGCAGCAAGAGCTGTCCCACTCCATGCCCCGTACCCACTGACAGCTCTCCCCGCCTTGCTTCCTGCTGCTGCTCTGCTTCCCCCTGCCCCTTCCCAGCCTTACTCCCTCCCTCACTGCTGATTTTTAAATGGATCTTTTTTCCTTTTATCCCAGTTTTCATCCTGGTTTTTATGTTTCGAAGATAAACCTCAAAAAACTCCCCGATTTGTATTTAAAAAAACAAACAAAAAAAAAACTGAGAATGTGGAACACTAGATGTAATGTATCTGATTCAAGGGTTCTTGTCTACATATAGCCAAGGTTTCAGTGGCTTATAGGATAGATGGAATTTAAATAAATAGGTGCAGTTTTGTGAATTCTGCTTATCACCTTTTAGCTGTGACCTCAAAAACTTTGTGTTAGTAGGCTATTTTGAGGTTAGTATTAATGATATTATAGATGGGGAAATTGAGACGATGATTATTCTCAGCATCAGGGTTGAATTGAATCCATGGATCCTGACTCTTAGGGTTATTCTACCTCTCTAATACCGTCCATATGTTTAATGATATCTCTGCCAAACACTATCTGCTTCATATTAATGAGGGTTTTACTTGCCCATGAAAAGACTGCTCTACTGCCAAATAGATTTCTCCAGCAGGGAACTCCTTCCAGTCCAAGCTAAACATCTCATTTCCCTCTGTTCTTCAGACTCAGTTTTCTTGGATGAGTGGTTGATACCTGCCTGGTACACTCACAGACTGTATCAGCAGCCATGAGCTATTTGACTGTAAAACTTGACTAATGTGAGAATAGATCTTTACACACAGGGAGAGGGTGTTTAAGGAGAATCTGAGTGAATTTAGAGAGACTTTTCAGAAGGAAACTTGGTGGAGGTTTTCTTATTAAGTCATGCGCCAAAAAAATAGTATTCTGGCTGGGCGGAGTATCTCTTGGTGATTCCTAGGAAGGAGATGGCTCCATTATATCAAAATATTTACCACCATAATTGGAAGAGACAGAGTTGGGAGGAAAGTCACAAACACTTAATTATTACTTCTAAGTAGAGTATTGTTTGGTCTGAAACAATATATACATAGAGACTCTATTAGCCGCTAAAAGGATTGGTGCATCACTTCTACAATACAACCTGTCACCTGGTAAGCAAATAATTAAGGTAGAAGTTGCTTCCAGGCCTAATTCGTCTTTGTACATTACAGCGCAGTGAGTTGTCTAGTCATAATGACTTCTGTGAAACTTTCCCTCCCCAACTCTGAAGTGTCAGCCAACTGCTGCTGCCATAAATTGCTGCTTTTGGAGTGCACCTGCTAAATAGCTGTTCTTTCAGTTCAGAGATAAGTGCATTTTGGTGACCTTTGGACAGTGTGCAAAATGTGCTACCTCCTGCCCTCTGAAATATGCATCCTGTTCTAATTGGCATGGGATATAATCTCTTTATTCCTCTGGGCAATCTGGACAGCTTTAAAGAATGCAGTAAGCGATTTAGTTTTTACTCCAACTTTATCTTGTAGGTAAAACTTAAATCTCTCAAGAACTAGATCCTAGGTCATGTGTGCTTTCAAGGGTTTTATTATATGAAGGTCACACACAAACAGCTTGGACTTGATTGGTACCTAAAACGTGCTGTGTTTTCCTTTTATAGATTCATAGATGCTAGGGTCAGAAGGGACCTCAAAGGATCATCAAGTCTGACCCCCTGCCAGTGGCAGGAGAAAGTGCTGGGGTCATGTGACCCCAGCTAGTGCTTGTCCAGTCTCCTCTTGAAGCCCCCCAACGTAGGGGAGAGCACCACCTCCCTTGGAAGCCTGTTTCAGATTCTGGCAGCCCTAACTGTGAAGAAGCTCTTTCTGATGTCCAGCCTAAATCTGCTTTATCAGCTTGTGGCTGTTGTTTCTGGTTATTCCAAGGGGTGCTCTGGTAAAGAGCATCTCCTATTCTGTGCTGTCCCCCAACCCCCTGGTGAATTTGTATACTGCCACAAGATCCCTCCTCAGCCTTCTCTTGCAGAGGCTTAAAAGGCCTAGGTCCCTCAGCCTTTCCTCATAAGGCCTTCCCTGCAGGCCTCTAACCATACAAGTGACCCTCCTCTGGACCTGCTCAAGGTTGTCCACATCCTTCTTGAATTGAGATGCCCAAAATTGGATGCAGTACTCTAGCTGTGACCTGACCGGTGCCTCATAGTGGGGAAGCATCACCTCCCTGGACCTGTTCATGATGCACCTCTGCTAATGCATGACAAAGTGCGGTTAGCTCTGCTAATTACTTTGTCACATTGACGGCTCATTCATCTTGGAGTCAACAATGACTCCAAGATCTTTCTGTTGCTGTGCTGCTGAGAAGGTGTCCGTCCCCTGCCCCCCACTTATAGGTATATTGGTGATTCCCTCTTCCTAGGTGTAGTACCTTGCACTTGTCTTTGTTGTTCTCTACCCACTTCTCTAACCTGTCCAGGTCTGCCTGGATTTGGTTTCTTCCCATCAGTGACATTGCTTCGCCCCATAGTTTGGTGTCATCTGTGAATTTGGACATAGTGCTTTCCACACACTCATCCAGGTTGCTGATGAAAATATTGAACAGCACTGGACCAAGCCTTGGGGGACCCCAGTGCCCACACCTTTCGAGGTTGATACCGACTCGACCACCACCACTCTGGGTACGACCCTTAAGCCAATTCGCCACCCACATGATTGTGTAATCGTCTGTGGCACAGCTGTTCAATTTGCTTATAAGAATAGGATGGGATACAGTGTCAAAGGCCTTCTTAAAGTCCAAGTAGATGACATCTACCTCGACTCTTGCATCCAAGTTTTAGTGACCTGGTCATAGAAAGAAACAAGGTTAGTCAGGCAGGATCTACGTGCTGTGAACCCTTGCTGGTTGCCCTTCAGCATTGTATTACCCACTGGACTCCTGCAAACGTAATCCTTGATAATCTTTTTAAGGATTTTCCGAAGAGTAGAAGTGAGACTAACTGGTCTATAGTTACCCGGATCCTCTTTCCTTCCCTTCTTGAAAATAGGGACCACATTGGCCCTTTTCCAGTCCTCTGGGACCTCACCTGAGCACTACGAGTGCTCAAACAGTCATGCCAGTGGCTCTGCTATGACACTGGCTGATTCTTTCAGCACCCTTGGATGGAGCTCATCCGGTCCCGCTGATTTAAACACATCCAGCCCCTCCAAATGTCTCTTTACTAGGTCGGCACTGACAGTTGGTGGGCTGGTGTTTTTCCTGCTTCTGTCAGTAATGCATTTGGGAGATGTGTCTAAATCCGAGTTCAAGAATACCAAGGCAAAAAACTAATTGAAGAGCTCTGCTTTGTCCCTCCTATCTGTCACCAACTGCCCTTTTAGCTGAATTCAATTTAGTTTTCTTTTAGTTGAATTCAAAAGTGAGCTCTTTTATGCTCATGTTTTGATGAACCCAAACATCTTTGTTTCAAACAAAAAAGCAACTCTAAGGGGGAATATTAGCAAGGTGCTAACAAACTCCTTGCTGGTGATTTCTTGCATGTCAGAAGAATACATCTTTGTATCCCAGTGTAAGAGAATCTTTGACTGGTAGATGTAAGCCAGATCTATTTAAAAAAAAAAAAAGCGGAGGCAGAATGACATGTCTGTCTTTGGTATAACCATGTTTTGACTGTAGAAGGCTTTCATTACAATAAATTTTAGTTTTGCTTGTTCTTTTCAATGCAGTACAGTATCCTGACCAGCAATTGCAAATAACAGATTGTATCTAATGTTGGAATATGTTCTGACTGCAGATACAAGGATAAAATCCAAATTCTATATCTGTGGCTGCTGCTTATTATCTTAAATGAATCAAGAAAAGATAACTTGCTGTTCAGCATGGATAAGCACAGGTATTTTGTCTTACCTGGCCAAACTTGTTGTCTTATACAGTAGTATGGAAATTGGTTTAAACATCTTATTTCAGTTTTGTAAGGGGCAAGAATTTCTTTTGGATATCTTTTGTTGGACCAACTGCACGGTTGGGATAGGCTTTGACAAGCTTTTGAATGCAGTGGCGTTTTCTTCAGGTCACCTGAAGGTCCAGTAAAAGATATTACTTGCACAGACCCTTACCTTGCTCACATTTCCTGGACTATCAGGGCTACAACATCTACATCAAACTTATTTCAGTTTTGTCATTGTTGTGTATGAGAGAATGACTTAACGAATCTGGATCATATGATCTTACTCTTCTGTTTGCAGGTAGAGGGCTTTCATTTAATTTTTTTGCTCCCTTTAGGTTGATCTGTGCTTAGAGTGTATTGAATGGGCCAAATCTGAGAAAAGAACTTTCCTGCGGCAGGCTCTGGAGGTAGGCTGAGTGTTGATTTACTTTCTATTTGGTGGCAACTTTTCTACTTGTCTGGATTTTGTATTTGTAAATATTTCCTGCTCAGGTCTTTGTGTATACGAAAATCTACATGATTATTCTAAGGCTAGTTGTCCTGGTTGAGGGCATGTTGGCAAGAAATTTTTCTTGACAGGAGAGAGCTTGATTACTTTTATTCAGAACCAGTAGAATTTCCAGACAATATCTGGGGTTAGTGTGTTGCATTGTACACCCTAAATTAGTGAAACCTGCAAATTAATAAGAATACCATATCATTTTACCAAATAAATCTATGCTACCTTTCCCTGACTCTCCTCAAAGCAGTTCCTTTTCTGTTCTCCAGGCTAGGTTGGTGTCTTTGTATTTCGATACTAAGAGGTATCAAGAGGCATTACAGCTAGGTAAGTTTGCCACTAGGTGGCGATAGTTCATTGTTTCCAAATTTAAGTTAGAGGTGCATATGGGGAATGACCAGTTGTCCTTGTAACATGATATACTTTGGTAAGTTAATGGCTTCAAAGACTTGAAATCCTCTGGCCTGAATCAAAGCTCTGTTTTTCCACTGCGAGCACCATAGACTTGTTTCAACTGGATTTTTAAACAAAATATAATCAGATGTAGTTGAATACAGAATACTAATATTTTTTCAAGGGACCTGTGGGATTAGGCATCTGATGCTTCTAGGTCCTTTCAGAAGTGGTATCAATAAAAGCATTAGTAAGGCCAAAAATAACTGCTACATATAGCAGGCCCTTGTCCTGGTAACATGATATTGTGGCATGGAAGTCGGGACTTCTGAGCTCTTCCAGTTTTGCTACTTTGATAACTTTGTTCAAGTCGCTATGCTTTTCTTTGGTTTCCGATTAGTAGGAGTAGAATTTAAGTCACCTGTGTAACTTAGGCATGGTCTGAGCACAAGTTTTTAGAAATCTTCTGTTAAACAGTTCAGACATCAAAGTTGCATCTGTTTATCAACGTAGCTTGGGTCTGTATGCTGTCTAGGTTTAAACTGATGAGAGTTGCACATTAAAGTTAAATTTTTTAAATTCAATTGACTTCAATAACCCAGCACAACTTGTGTATGTAGAGAAGCCCATAGAAAGTCAGTAGAGACTGCTGCTGAGTCATTTAGGTGCTTCTGAAAAGCCAACAACAAGTACCTATAGATCTAAATGTGTGTATACAGCATCCTGCTCAACCTTGTATGTATGGGACATGGGGAATATGGAGCATGGAAATAACGTGTTTTGAGGGGTGACATTTGTCTGCTGCTGGGGGAGGGACAATAATAGGTCTCTGCAGCCCCTAGAGAGGAGTTGAGGGAAACAGGCTTCTGAAGTCAAGTTTGAAGAGGAGGTAAGTTCTCTTCAAGCTGATGGTGCAGTTTTGCTTTCATACTTTGCTGGTTTCGATAACAATAGGATGCGGTTTTTATCTCTTTTTACATCAAGATGTTTCTTTAATTCAAAGGAGGAGAAAAAAGCTGCTTCTGTTGGCTGGCTCTTTGCCTCTGTACTCAGCAGCATTGAACTGGTGGTTCATCTGAGTCTCCTGGGTCTTCTCTTCCTATCAAGAAATAAGGCAAAGGAAGTGCGGCGTCTACTTTTTAATCCATAACTACTTAATGATTTAAAAAACAAATCCCCATCATCCCAAATTTGGAAGCAAGTCAAAAGAAGCCTTGGTCACTTCTAGAAAGCGAAGTTCAGACTAGCACTTGATTTGCTCAAAGATCTGTCATGAATCTGATACTGTCACCCAAAGAACCTTTTCATACAGACGGGTTGAATCTCACCACCTGCTGTAAATTACTTAAGTTTATGCCCCTTAAGGCAAAACAGCAGATGTCAATGCTCAGCTTGCCCACGGTTACTTGCACCATCAGTAATGCTTGCCCTAGAATACAGAACTTTCCCTTGAACTTATCCAACTTTGTCTGGTTCTACTTTTTGTCCTTTTGTTTCTTGGAACAACAAAATGTGTTGGCATGAACACCCTGGATACTTCTAGGCCCTGAGCCACTGAAAGCATACCTAGAAAACAGCACCCTTTTGGGGAAAGAGGGTGTTGTCCACAACGACCTTGAATTGCTGCTGCTGGCCAAAAAGAGGAGCTATTTGGAGCAAGTTACAAAGGCTCTTGTTCTTGTTTCTGGCTAGGCTCTCAGCTTCTGCGTGAGTTGAAAAAGATGGATGATAAGGCTCTGCTGGTTGAAGTGCAGCTGTTGGAAAGCAAGACATACCATGCCCTCAGCAATCTGCCAAAGGCAAGAGCGGCTTTAACCTCTGCACGGACCACAGCCAATGCAATCTATTGCCCACCCAAATTGCAGGCAGCACTGGACATGCAGTCAGGTAAAAAATCTTGAATAGAAGCAGGGGAGGACTGGGATCGAGCCTTTAATACATTACATGACCTGTTGTGCCATACTTACAAAGCTGAACCTCAAAAATAAGATGTTTTGCCCCACGCTATTTTTATATAAAAAAAGGTATGGCCTGCAACCCAGTTTTTCATGTAGTCTCATTAATTTAGCCCATTTATTTATTAATTTTTACATGTTTTATGAATGTAAACAGTAACATATTGCTGTAATGTTTTGAGTAGCAGTACTGTGTATGTATACACCTGAGCATTCAGAGTCATGGCTTTGACCTAACACATTGTGAGTGGTTTAATTCATGATTTTGAAATCAACTCAGTTTTTCTTCTGGTACTTGAGTCTTTAAGGTGAATAACAAATGTATCCAGACCTTCCAAACCATGACAGCTAAAAACTTACGTAACTAAAAACTAAAGATTTTCTTGTTATCAGTTCAGGAGCTGAGGCTTGCTTTTTTCAATATAGTGGTAAACTTATGCAGTAGGTAGTCATTGTTAGTCTCTTCAACCAGGCAAAAATTTTAAGTGACCTTTTATACTACAGTTTGAGACAAGATCCCTGAAATCTTTTTAGCCAGCAGGTCCGTAACTCTTGTTACAAATGCCACTCAAAGGAGCTTGTACTCCTGTCATTCAATCATACAGAAAAGAGATTCCACAAAAAACAAGTGCTAAAGTGCTGAAATGTGGCTTTGCTTAGACACATCCCTTGTATATTTTTCCTTGGTTTTGTAGTCTGTCTCTAGTCCACTATTTTGAAGAGTGAACGCGGTTGTCCTAAAACAAATGAATTAAAAGGATGAAAATAAAAGGAAAATGTTCTGTTTAATGAAAGTGCAATGTACAGCATTAGTTAGCCTTGTTATTTCACTGCCTTTAGAGAATTCAGAATTGACTTCAAGTCTGCATGTTCTCTTCACAGGTATTATCCATGCAGCAGAAGAGAAGGACTGGAAAACAGCCTATTCATATTTTTATGAAGCATTTGAAGGATACGATTCAGTTGATAACCCCAAAGCCATCACTGCGCTCAAATACATGTTGCTGTGCAAAATCATGCTCAACGCGTACGTGGCAGTTGAGTTCTGGGAAGAACACTTTATTACATTTAATTGGGCAGGAATTGTCCATATATCTCTTAGCTAATTGAACTGAAGCAGACAAATTTAGTTAGCTATTTATTCCTTCGTTGTATTTGTTGCTGTAATCTCAAGAATCTGGCATTTCCAGAATATATGTGGTAGAATAAGTCCTGAAGTTGTGTTTTTTTTTTAGGTTTAGCGGAAAACTTGAAGACTTCTTGATGCATACTTTGTGTAAATGTGCATCAGAGTCAGGAAGTATGTGGCTCAGTTGAAAGGCCAGTCTAATAACCTGTATTGAGAAGTACAGCATTACTCACTGTTGGCTAAATGCACTCTTCCCTTTCTCTCCAGCCCAGAGGATGTGCAGGCATTAGTGAGTGGGAAGCTTGCTCTGCGGTATGCAGGAAGACAGGTACAGAAAACTAAGGCTTTCTATCTTCATTCTCTCTGGAAAGGATAAAAGTTGATTCCTCACTGGATTCTATTATGCATTCATACCTGACACTTTCTAAATGATCTGTATTCATTACCACTGCACTAAAGAAATTGGCTGTTAATATTTCTACACACTTCAAGTCAGATCCTGAGCTTACTGAATCACCTGACATCCATTGATTTCAGTTGCAGTGACTTGCACCCAGTGAAGATCTGGCCCCTTGTTGCTTCATTTAATCTTCTCCCAGGGCTTTGGTACACTGCTGAATTCTTAGTTGTCATGTTGATGGGTCTAAACATGTAGGTGCTGAGTACTCTCTGTTTTCCAGGGACTGCTGCAATGGCAGTCTTGGATCAAATGTATGGATGCCCAAGTTGTTAATTACTCTCACTTGTTTTGGTTGTTCCTCAAAATCCCTTTTTTCTTGTCCAGTAGAATTGAACAGTCTTAAGATCCAGAGGACTAAGGTGAACAACAGCAATTGGCATCTTCCATCTAAATAAGCCCAGCTTGTTCTAATGATGTGCAAATTCCTTATGATTCTTTAAATTTGGTAGCATTCCTTTAACACAGTGTCTCCCAAACTTTTTTCCTATGGCCCTAAATCTGGGTTGTGACCCCTGCCCCTCCTGCCCATTCACTCATGCTTGGCAGCGCCAGCAGAGCCTAGGCCGGGCTGGGATCACGGGGGGCAGCAGCAACAAGAGCCGGGTGGAGCGAGGGGCGGACCCCCCGCAACCCTGATTTGGGTCGTGCCCCAAGGTTGGGAGCTACTGCTTTAACATGTATGGGTGTTCTGGTTACTTATAAATTACCAAAAAAAGGTGGCTTTGGTACATTGGAATGACCCTGTAATAACAACCAGTTTGTGTTCACACCACACCTTGTTAAAATAGAGGGTCATGAACTAGGAACTCTTGCAGTCTGGACAGACGTAAGCAGTGACACCCTCCCTGCACTTTTGGTCGTTTGTGTAGTTGCTGTGGCACAGGAGCTAATTTTAAGCCCTCACAGTTGTCTGTGAGGTGATTATCTGAGAGATGAGACAATGGTAAATACTGATCATTAAGACGCAGTACTGAGGGGATGGAAGGAGAGAATTTTTTTTGGAATTGAAACTTCCTTATCCTTGGCCAGTTTCTAGATAGTCCTAGCCTCATCTTTTTCATTTCCCCCCTGACAGTCATACATAGCAAGCCTACACTTGATGGCCCAATATACCTTTTTCAAAGAGAGGTTAAAACACTTTATCTGGATACTTCTGTGGCCCCTTTTATAGCATATGAGCATTTCAAAGGTTGTCTTCACCATTCCACTGAGAGAGTATTGGTCTATTTAACAGGTATGAAAAATGAGTTGGAGGACAAATGAACTGTCCGAACTTCAGTGAATTAGCAGCAGATGGAACAACAAAATCCAGATTCCATAGCCATTGGCTTATACTGCTCTACTACTGCACCTGTGCTCTTACTACTCAGAAACTTGCATTCCAGGCAACAGTACAAAATATTGATGCGACTGTGGGGAGAGACTTAAAATGTTCTCAGAATTAGGTAGTGAAGAGGCAAAGCAAACTGTTGCCGTAATGGTGTGGTTTGAAGGTCCCATACTTTGCAACTTGCCAGGCTTAGAAATGCTTTATCAGTGGGGCTGTTCAGCTGGTGGCCTGTGAAGGGTTAAGTTTCAGCCCCCAGGCTCCTGCCTAGCTGCTGCCCACCCCCACTTGCCTGCAGTGGCAGCCAGAGTCCATGACTGGATTGAAGTTCCTGCAGCATGCAGCCGTCACTGGTGCTGCCTTGGGGGCTTGTGACCTTCATCGCTTAGAGGTTGGAGGCTCTCCTTTTTCAGCATCATCTTAGCCTTTTCTAAATAGTGGTCCTTAATTTTAATATAAAAGAATGTTTCAGTCCTTTTTTTGTCTGCTCTTCTCTTTTCCTGGAACCTGTAAGATTTGATCGTCTCCAATGTGAAGAATGCTACTTATGATAGACAGTATATGTTGGTCATGCTTCTCGGTGTCTTTCTTCCACTGAAGGCACAGCACTCTGAAAAGAAGAAATATTAAACTGCCTAAAAACTCCAAAATGTGCACGTTCTGAAAGAAATGCTGAAATGTGCATCATTTTGCCAAACTGCAGTTGAAGGAACCGCAGACTCTTGCTTCTGTATTCTCAAACATTACAAAATTCCAATTCTTCATCAGTATGGAGTGGTTTTCTTACTAGGTGTGCTGAATATTCCCACTTTGCCTATTAATGTTCAGTGTACTCCATATAGCTAGTATTAACAACATTTGTGGGTGCCCCAAAAATAATACTTGCTCCATCTTCTTTGCAGACAGAAGCACTGAAATGTGTGGCACAGGCCAGCAAGAATCGGTCGCTGGCAGACTTCGAAAAGGTGAGTGATTAGGAAGACATCAAAGTCTGTTCAGCTTGACCCATGCTTCTCTGCCAAGGTTGTGCCCAATGTGGGACTTGCTTGGCATTGGTATAAAACACTGCAGAAATAGATCTGACCTTTCCCAGCAGTTGGTCCACTCTGTTGCAGCCCATAGGTTTGGTTCAGCATCCCCAATCTCTTTCAGGAGCTTGTAGGCTTCATGTATAGGAAGAGGTTATACAACTTATTGTTCATGAAGGATCCAAGCAAACAACAGGAGAATATTCTGGGGTATTCATTTGAAGTTGAATCCTAGCTTTAGTTTATCAGGTTAATCACTTTAGGTTTCATGAAGAATCAAATGCCTTGATTTTAGTGTGGGTACATGGGGTTGTGTGAACGAAGAACGTGAAACTAACATCTTTACTAAAAGTCCACCTTGAATTGCACAAACTTTGCAGTAGTATTGGGCAGCTGTTGTTGGGCCTTTTCATCAAATAATTAGAGAACAGAAACAAATACCATGTACTGAAGGAAATGGCCTTTGTAATTTAGGATCCATTTATTATCTTTTTTGAGAATTCATGGAGGTTGGACAACTGTTTGACTGGACAGGGGCAAATATAGTGCCCATCTTTAAAAGGGGAAGAAGGAGGGTCCGTGGAACTAGAGACCAGTCAGCCTGACCTCTGTAACTGGAACGATCATGGAGCAGGTCCCCAAGGAATCCATTGTGAAGCATTTTAAGGAGAAAAAGGTGATCAGGAAGTCAGCTTGGCTCCACCAGGAGCAAGTCATGCCTGACCAACCCAATTTTCTTCTATGGTAAAGTGACAGGCACTGTGAATGGGGTGAGAGCAGTGGACGTGGTATACCTTGTCTTTGTCAAGGCTTTTGACACTGTCTCCCACAATATCCCCATTAGTAAGCTAAGGAAATGGAGACTAGATGCAAGTACTGTAAAGTGGACATGTAGCAGGTTGATCACTGTACTCAGCAAGTAGTTCTCAAATGGCTCAATGTTGAGTTGGGAGGAGATATCAAGTAGTTTCCCAGGGGTCTGTCCTGGGTCCAGTATTGTTGAACATCCTCATCGTTGATTTGGATGATGTGATCAAGTGCAGCTTAGCAAATTTACAGGTGATACCAAGTTGGGTGGAATTGCAAATACTGTGGAGGGCAGGACTTGGATTTAGACTGGAGAAATGGTCCACTCTGGATCCATCAGAAAGGATTCAGCAAGGATGAGTGCAAAGTCCTGCACTTTGGACAGAATAACCAATATGCACAAGTACAGACTGGCTTGGTTGCAATTCAGGTGAGAAGGACCTGGGGTTTATAGTGGACCATAAGCTGATTATGAGCCAACAAGTGTGCTCTTGTTGCAAAAAAAAAAAAAAAAAAAAAA